CACGCTCCATTCGAACACAATGGCGATGATTCGACAGACACATGTACTTGATTCTTGGCGAGATATCAGGTTTCCCCCAAGTCACCACCATTCATCATCCATCCAAACCTCAACATCATCGCTTATGGCGGTATGCAGAAACACGCATAGACCATTACATCGCCGATGAGCAATGGGAGGGAAAATGTGTTAGAGAAAGAAATGACTGTGAATTGTTGTGCATGTAGGATGGCCAGTGAACTTTGTAAATATTTTATCAATAGTTCGCAGTCAAAAATTGGGGGTTAGATTTTTTGGGTTCTCGAGCTGAAGATCTAATTCAGCCTAGCCTGCCATGTGCAGTAGCAACATAGGAAACGCCGGAGAACACGCTCAAATGTGGACCACTTGTGCCTCGGAATGACGTCCGAGATTGGAAAGAGCATTACGTAGGTTCTTGACTGATTTGGCCAATTTCGGGGTGTATGCTCCTGGGTTAACGCCAACTAGCTGGCGCCGGATTTTGACACATTCTTCAATGAATGGGAGCGCCTCTGAGTGCCGTCCGAGACCCGAAAGAGCCAAATATAGATTTCTGAGTGACATGGCCAAATCCGGTGTGTATGATCCTGGGTCAACGCCAACTAGCTGGTGCCGGATTTTGACACATTCTTCAATGAATGGGAGCGCCTCCGAGTGCCATCCGAGATTGGAAAGAGCCAAATATTGATTTCTGAGTGATGTGGCCAAATTCGGGGTGTATGATCCTGGGTTAACGCCAACTAGCTGGCGTTGAATTTTGACACACTCTTCAATGAATGGGAGCGCCTCCGAGTGCCGTCCGAGATTGGAAAGAGCCACATATAGACTGTTGAGTGATATGGCCAAATCCGGTGTGTATGATCCTGGGTTAATGCCAACTAGCTGGCGCCGGATTTTGACACATTCTTCCATGAATGGAAGCGCTTCCGAGTGCCATCCGAGACCCGAAAGAGCCAAATATAGATTTCTGAGTGACATGGCCAAATCCGGTGTGTATGATCCTGGGTTAACGCCAACTAGCTCATAGCGCCAGAGTTGAACACTCTCTCCAATGAATGGGAGCGCCTCGGAGTGCCGTCCAAGATCCGAAAGAGCCACATATAGGTTTCTGAGTGATATGGCCAAATCCGGTGTGTATGATCCTAGGTTAACGCCAACTAGCTGGCGTTGGATTTTGACACATTCTTCAATGAATGGGAGCGCCTCCGAATGCCGTCCGAGATTAGAAAGAGCTTTGTGTAGACTGTGGAGTGACTTGGCCAAATGGGGAGCGTAGGAACCTGAGGTCACAGAAAAAAGGCAACGGTAGAGTACAACAGTGTCGTTTGCTGCCTCATATGCCTCTTGGAATCTTGAAAAAAAAACCAAATTACGGCGAAGTCGGATAAGCACATTAGCTAGTGTGCCGACAGCATCTTTCGACCTGTGGACAACAGCCAACTGGATAAGATCATGAGGTAGTTTCATCAATACAATTTGTCGATAACCCATACCTTAGCCCACTCAGGGAGTGAAGAGATACTGACGTAGGTTTCCATTCTCACACAGACTTCCATCCAGCGAGTTGCTTCCTGACTCAGAAACATAGCAACTGACCTAGCAAGCCCCTGTGATGGTTCCTGGACTCCACTGAGATGATAGACAATATGGCGACATGCATAATGAAAGTGCTCAGATAACTCGTTTGGAGGAATGCGCGGCATTTCATCTTTTTCGGACAAGTTTTCAATCAGTCCTAAGCCCTTTACAGAGCAGAAATCCTGGTTCAGGATCTCAATACATCGCAGGGCAACCCGGGCATTCTCTGTCTCCACACCTACTGGACTGCAATGAGGACTGATTGTTCGAAGATTGATCCGACCGACAATAAAATCGTGGAAAGACTGATGTAAGATGCGAACCGGAGTGTAGTGATCCCCAACTCCTGAGAGGAGTGGTGCAAGTTCAGCCAGTACATATCGAGCAGAAGACTTGAGGAAGGGCGACAAAATTGCATCCCAGGCTGTGATGGACAGAGGCTGCTGAGCAACGACCATTGCTCCCATCATAACTGGGTAATCGTGAGCAAAATCTTCATCCTCCCAAGCACATTTCTTCAAAATGCTTATATACAAGTCATCCATCATCTTCTCGGCAGGGACCTCTGGTCGTTCGGCACCAGTGTCTAGCAGACTTTCTAGTGTCCTCATAGGATTCTTGTTGGCCACCTCCATGTAGCGAAAGATGATGCTGATCCAGATAAACAAGCCATTTGCTCGTTTCGAGATCTCCTGTACCATATTATCCTCGTCCTGAAGAGTACGCTGTAAACTCCGACGTAACTCCCTTAGCTTTTGCAGCTGGAAGCGTATGAATCTAGTACAGTCCTGCACATTTGCCTCATCCAAGAGATCAATAGTGAGACGATTAATAGGGTAATCGGGGGAGAGGTAGCGATTCACGAGAACAAATTGTCTCGATGTGATGAAGAATTTGATGGAAGATGGTAGCCTGGGCACTTCGTCCCCAAGAATTTCGGCAAGGGGCTCAAGCACGTCTTTGTCACATTCATCCAGAGCGTCGATGATGATCACCATAGGACGGTCGGAAGGCGGAGGTTTACAGAGCAGAGGTAGAGCGACCAATTCCTTGAATTGCGTCGCGAATGAAGCTGTTGGGAGACTAGGGTCGTTTCGAAGAGTAGAGGTAATGAAAGTGCGGTAAGCGGGGTCATGGTCTGCCAAAGCTTGAGCTATGCCACTGAACAAAAGATTAGGCCGCGACCGTTTGCCCGCTTTGAAGAAGAACCGTAGTAACAGGGAAACATCCTCTTCACTGACACATCGCTCGGCTATCGTGAGGGCAATCGAAGTCTTGCCGGCACCGGCCACAGCAGTCAACAGCATTAGCCGGTTCTCCCCATCCCCGGTGTTGCGGCACCACGCCATGATATGCTCAATGAGATCAACCCTAGTGCCTTCTAGGCACGCCCGGGTGAGATTATAAGATGGGTCTTGGCTATCGAGGGTTTTGTCGTCGTGTGGGCGGTGTTCTGTGGACGCCAACTTGGTGCCAATTATCAAGTTCGTCATAACCTGCATCGGCAAACAATCAGAATGGTCATGGGACGTTCCTGTAAGGAAAGCTACCTGAAACGATGACAATGCCTCGTCAAAATCTTTCTTTAGGCCATGAATTCTTCCCGGGTCTCTCAAGTGAGAGAAAGTTTTTCTGATAGTCAATCGTTTCTCTACTTTTTCCCATCCTTCAATTTCGGACCTAATTTTCTGTAGCGCGCTAGGATTTGATGTGAATACGATATTGAAAACCGTCAAAACGGATACAGATTTACCCATCGAGCTCGGTAGCACTTTCCACCCATGACTTTGCCTCTGATACATCGTCGGACTCTATTGCCGAAGCTACCTTGGCCATGGTGCTTGCTATGTATTCCCCGAAATTAGTCCATTCCTTAGCGTTCACCTTAAAATTCTATGTAACGCGAACCAGGGTGAGCTTACATTGGTAAACAAGCATGAATCATTACCAACTTTAACCTCGTCGAAGATAAAGAGTGCAGCACTAGTCGCATTCTTTAAGGGTGGACACCAATCTGCGGTACCATTGATGCCTCTCAGAGTTAAAACCGCCAGGTCACCCCCTGCTGCGAGATCATTAATCTTTTGCCTCGGAGTTCCAGCCTTTTGCTGCAGCGATATGGTCGATGGCAGGCAAGTTGATGGGGGAGGGGGCTTTGGGCACGCCACAGACGTATCAATGGTATCAGGCTGTCTGGTTGTTTTTCCTGTCTGCACCGTCCTTAGGGATTCGGGTGACACATGTGCCCACAACAAGCCGGGCAGCGGCTCCAACCCAAGGACAACATCTCGAGCTTCAGAGGAAATAGCGACGGACGCTACCTCTTCATCAACTCCAGTGTCCAAGAGTTCGGGCGTCGGCTTCGGCAACGGCTGAACCTGAGGCTGTTTCTCGCCAGAAATCCCATTTTGAAAGTCAGGAGAAGGAGCCACTTTCCTATCAGCCTCAATGGCCGCCTTCCTGGATGACGTTGAGGGTCTCGAATTCGTGTGATGTCCACCCAGTGTAAGGTGTGAATCCACCAAGCCGTCGGTGAGTGGTGGGAACAGGTTTGTTTTAAGGTCAGACAACTCGAGGTTCGGAGATGAGTCCGGCTCGACGCAGGTATCTACGAGTGATCGAAAGACCTCCCCCATCGTTGGTCGCGCATCCGGAGAAAATGCACAGCAACTAGAGAGTATTTTCTCCACTGGAGAGGATTGCTTCCAGTCCCAAACTGGCCGGCCGGATTTTAACGCCTTCAGCAGTTGGGCATCATTCTTAAGCGAAGGGAAAGGACTTCCATCAAAAAGTATCTAGTTAAGCTTCAGTCAAGCGCAAGGATGTTACATTCGTCAATCACAACGGCTCACCATGGCACAACTACAGGCAAAGGAGTAAATATCACTAGATGTCGTCTTGACATCACTTTCCACGACTTCCGGGGCGCAATAGCGCAACGTGAATGAGGCCCCCGAAGATGTGTAGCCTGTCGTCAATCCGTCCGCAATCAAAGATAGCCCGAAGTCACACAACTTGGCACGCCCGGCCTCACTAATTAATATGTTGAGCTATATGTTGTCGGTCCCTTTAAATCGGTTTCATAGACAACACATGTTTACCTACAGGCTTGAGATCGCCGTGAACTACAACAGGGTCATGGTCATGAAGGTACGTCAGACCTCGAGCGACATCGAGAAGCTGTCCGATGGCGTGGGTCCCTTCAGTTCAAAAGGCCAGTTTTGTCACTGATACCACTCACGAGGGGCAGCCGATTGCAAGATGGTTTGCGACGCAGATATTGAACAAGGTTCCCGTTCGAACACCATTCGGACACCAGTGCCGCTTCTGGTACTGCGCCGCGAGCTCCAATCGCAAAACCAACGAATTTCACTATATTTCCGTGGTCCAAGTCCTTCCATGCCTTCATCTCTCTCTTTAGGTGCTGGTGAAGTACGTGGACTTCAATGTTGTCAATCCCGCTGAGAAAGCCCTCACCTTCATGGTTTTTTTTACTTCCTCTACCACAGGCGGCATGTCGCTGATAGGCGGTTTGAGAACTTTGTAGCAGACCTCCATGGAGGAAGTGAAGTGAACAAAATCAACATGTCAGTTCAGAAAACATACATTCACGGGCGCCAGAGTGCCAGATTGGAGCCATTCGGCACGATAGACCTCGGAGTAGCCGCCCCGTGCAATCAGAACCTTAGTACCAAACTGGTGACTAAGATCCTGAACACCACGAATTGTGGACAAGGCTTCCATCACAGCTGACGAAGCAGGATCCATGGTACAATTGACTAGAGCAGGACAATGATTGCGTATGGATGCCAAGGTGCACGCTCAGAGTAGGCACTTCACAGACAGCTACTGCCAAAGCACCAGCTTTTCGAAAGGAAAGAGCTTGGTTATCCCCTTATACGAATCGGATAAAACTTGAACACGTTTTTTTCCATTGTGGCCCGGGCTCATCCATTGGCAAATGCCAAGAGACAAACTTAAAAGGCAAAAGCCTGCGCGCACCAGCTGACAAATTTCTGCTTACGCCTTCACTGCAGTGGCTCCAAATGTATGCCGTGTTCTAATACTAATAACCTGTGCCTAGCCCGGGCGATTGTGCAGATCGACCTCGGAGTCGGGCCCAACATTGTACTAGTCGTTGTTTTGTTTAGTTTTGTTTAGTTGCATCTGAGTTGAGAAACCGGAGTTGCGTCCGAGTTGCATCTAGTTGGGCCTTCGTGAACCCCCCTATTGTACTAGTTGGGGCTTTCTCAGCAGCTCGGCTTATGTAAATCAACTGCACGGGACCAATTGACCCCCCCATTCACTCTCGCTGCCGTTTCAGGTAGATCTTTATCGAGCCCTCCCGTCACTGGAGCTCACGGATAGCTGGGAAGCAATTGCGTAATTCACTCTTCGTCCCATTGGTCCTTTGACCTTCTAATGTCTCGAATGGTCCGAATTAAACGATCCTTGGGTGACTGGGCGAAATTAAGTCCAATCGGTATTTCTCAGCCCACCCCACTCGGTCGGCGGTTCATTGGCACTTTCTTCCCTTCTTTATCGCCTTCTTTCTACGTAGTTGCTCTATTTTTTCACCTTTCCTCGCTCGTCGTATACACGCGAGGCGTCCTTTTATAATGCCCTCCTGCCTCCGCACGACGTCAAGATCCTTAATCGTCGATTTGTTCTGCTGTGGCAGTTGACGTGCCAGCACTTCATTCACGAAATTAAAAGCAATGGCCAGCCAGTGCACTGAAATTCAACCATGTAAACTAGATTGTTTGTAAGAACGCACCAGTGGTTACCTAGCCTTTGGCTTGGCTTTGTCGAAAATTGCTCGCAGTGTAAGTATTATTGGATCCTCAATGACCAACTCATGCCATGACCCGCTCTTGTACACTGTCAATGTGTGGCACGCTGTTCCGAACGAGGACGTTGTATAACTGTTCAGCTGAGGGCCGTGTCCTCGGGTACGTGACACATCTTTCATTCTGTGTATTTGAACCAGTGATTTGATGCGCCCTTTTGAGGCTACGTGGACATAGCCCTTACGAATGAATGATGCTCTATTGCCGAGGTAAGTATAGCACTCCACATAGTAACGTTCTCCAGACAGTTTTTAATACCAAAGTAACTGACACCACCTTTCTCTGTAAGTATAAAGGGTTTACCGACAACGCTGAAAAGAGGCATTGCAGTCCTGCCCCTGCCCGGGTCCGTAAGAGCCCCCGTTACGCCAACACACCTGGGCTAGGTGCTCCATGCGGATGGGTTCAGTGGTGGCCACCAAAGGTGTTCTTCTCGGCTGTATCTCTTCAAGCGACGTGGGCGTGGGCGAGGGTGGTGGGCGGTGGGTGTATACTGCGCGTCAAATGAGACTCGGTTGACCCAGACTTGTTGAAGGCAGCCAGGTGAAATCTACAGACGCCTCCAACCACCTCGACCAGAGGGTTCATTCGTCTTTTCACGGCCAGGGGCTTCCATCTCCTTGATGGCATTGGTCCCTTCGATTTCTCTATCAGTAAGAAACCCAGGACACCAGACCGGCCGCGTTCCCTCTTGTAGAGGGTATGAATTGGAATGGTTAGGAAGAGAGACTATTAGCGGATTCAAATGTGGCGCCGGATTCAAGCGAAGGCTCGTGGAACAGATGGCTCTGTTACCTCAACTTGTTCCTGTAGGACAGGCTCTTGAGCTCGCGATGGACGCTTTCGGCAGGAGAGACGGGTGTGGGTTCACCGAGAGCTGCCTCTGTAATTGCGGTGAAGACAAGTTCTGCCTGTGGATTATCCAGTCCTTGGGGCATTCTCGACTCTTCTTAGCCAATCAGCCGGGGTAGACGAGACTGAGCAGGGGCTCAGACAGAAATATCGAAAGCACTGTCAGGGGGTATTTCTGCCAAAGTATCGATATTTGGAAGTGTTGAAGATATTTCTGTCCAAGTATCAATTGTTGAGGGTATTTCTGTCAACGTATCAATAACTGGAAGTGTTGGAGCTTCTTCAACGTCGCCATCTGCATAACCCGCGTCGTGTTGAGCGGCGAGCGGTGGCTGCAAGCCTGCTTTAAGGTCAGACATCTCGAAGCCGGAAGACGAGTCTGACTCAGTGCAGGTATGCAGGAGTGATCGAAAGGCATTCCGCATCGTCGGTCGCGCATCAGGAGAAGCTGCACAGCAAGTGCGTAGTATTCTCTCCACTGGAGAGGATTGATCCCAGTCCCAAGGCGATCGGCGGGAATCCAACGCATCCAATAATTGGGCATCATTCTTAAGCGAAGGGAAGGGATTCCCATCGAAGAGTATCTGCTTAAGCTTCAATCAAGTGCAAGGATGCTATATTCGAGAAGTGCAATGGCTCACCGTGGTGCAAATACAAGCAAAGCTGTAAATGTCACTGAATATCGTCTTGTTACCGCTATCCACGACTTCTGGGGCACAATAGCGCAATGTGAATCCAGGCCCCTCCGATGTATGTCCTGTCGTCAATCCGTCTGCTATCAAAGATAGCCCGAAGTCGCACAACTTGACACGCCCAGCCTCACTGATTAACACGTTGAGCTATATGGTATCAATTACTTTAAATCGGCTTCACAGGCAGCACATGTTAACCTACAGGTTTGAGATCGCCGTGGACTACAACAGGATCATGATCATGAAGGTAGGTTAGACCGCGAGCGACATCGAGAAGCTATTTGGTAGTGGGAGTCCTTCAATTCAAAAAGGCCAGTGTTATCGCCGATACCACTCACCAGGAACAGCCGATTGCAAGATGGTCTGCGTTGCAGATATTGGACAAGGTTACCATTCGAACACCATTCAGACACTAATGCTACTTCTGGTACTGTGTCATGATCTTCAATCGCAAAACCGACGAGCTTCACGATATTGATGTGATCTAAATCCTTCCATATCTTCATCTCTCTCTTCAGGTGCTAGTGCGGTATGTGTATCCTTAATGTCATTACTCTGGCTGAAAAAAATTTCCTCACCTTCATAGTTTTCCTTACCTCTTTTACGACAGATGGCATGTCGCTGATAGGTGGTCTAAGGACTTTGTAGCAAACCTCAATAGAAGGAGCTAAATGTAACAGCCAATATGCCAGTTAAAGAGAACATACATTCACAGGAGCCTGAGTGCCAGATCGGACCCATTCTGCACAATAAACCTCGGAGTAGCCCCCTCGTGCAGCTAAAACCTTTGCACCAAACTGATTACTAAGGTTCTGGACATCCTGGATTGTGGATAAGGTTTCCATCACGGCTGACGAAACAGGATCCATGGCGTAATCGACAAAGGACTGTGCCTGGATGTATTAGACCCAGGCAAGGATCCAGGGGTGCGTTGAGAGTAATCCTTGCAGACAGCCACTACTACAGCGACTTTGGACACCCCGCATGCCCAAACACAATCGCCTATATGTGTCGGATCCAAACATGGGCACGTTTTCTCCATATGGCCTACACGTGGGCAAGTGCAATAGGCAAGAACAAAAGCTCGTATGCGCGCGCACCAGAAGCACAGCTGAATGCGCCTTGGCTCCAAAAGTATGGCCGCGATCCGGCATCCTGGGTGTTGTTGTTTTGTTACCCCGCGTTGCAGTGCGGCTATCCTGGAACGCTGGCAATACGTGGTAAGGGTACCTGGTTGGTGTGGTCGGAGTGACGGAGTCCTCTGGCTTGACGGACGCGCGCAACATTGATGATGAGTGCATTTATCCGAAATGAGTAGTCTAGCATCATGACATGGCCTACATACGTATGATCTGTCACGCGATATGATTCGAAAAGATCGTCTCATCTCAGGCTCCACTCTTCGAGTGAGTATTCGCGGCCCAAGTCAATTCGACGTCACCTTTCACCCGAATTCGCCACCGTTGTAGTTTTGCCCGCCAGAACCAGCATACACTTTCCCCAAAAAAGTCTCATTCTTCTCATCTCATCTTCCATCGCCGACCTAATATATCATTCTTCGCGTTCGACTTAGCACTATCGATCCTCTTAATTTGGGACTGATCGCTCGGCACCATATTTCCCTACAACCACGCAACTTGTAGCCAACATCCGGCCTGAACGCTGCACTTATACGAGGCTGGCAACCACTTGTCCTCATTTAAAATGTCTCTGCTGTACTAGCTGATTCGGAGTGACTGGCTTGGCGTCGCCCTCCCTTAATTCAGGACACTTTTTTTTTTCAAACTACTACCATGGGGTTCTTACACTGCTTATAAACCAAGTATGAGATGGGGTTTTGGCCTTTCATCTCTTCACCTTTGATTCGGCCGCTCCCTGTTAGCTCATCCTAGTGAGCGGGATCGAGAAAAATCTATCGACGCAAGGTTCAAGTTATTATCGCTGCTGCCCTTGTCAAACGCTATTTGCTATTACGCCGGTTTGCTATCAAGCCGGCGCTCTTAGTCCTTGTGTAGCCCCCTTGACCTTCACTTCTTCTTTGATCTGATTCGTGTTTCGTCGATGGTTGCTTACCTGCTCTTCGCCGAACTCTTTGTTTGCTTCGTTGCTACTTGATTCACTTTTGCTCTACGTTGACTCCTCATCGATGACTGCTTGTTCGCTCTCTCCTTGATTCCTGCCTGCTCACCTCATTGTAAACTGCTTCAGTTGCTTGGCTGCTCTGCCATGTATTCCGTATATTCTCTTTGCCTCATTGTCGCCTGCTCCTCTATGTACTCTATTTGCCTCGCTGTCGACTGATTCTCCTTCTATGCCGGTCACGCATTGCTAACATCACCATGGCCGTTTTCTGTTAGACACCTAGTTTCCCCCTTGGTTAGGCAAATCCTGTCTCGAATGTGTACACACATCTTGATAAGTAGAACGTAAAGTGTGCTGACCTCCGCGAGCACTCTAGTGCAGACGTCCCAACGACCAGCCACCATTCGAATTTTCTGTTGGGGTTCGTAGAACTTACAACGAATTTTGACCCGTTAGCCCGAAAAGAAAGGCATAGGATACCCAGCATCCTGGGCCCTGTTAAAATGGTATATTAAATGACCTCCCGCCTCGACATAATGAACCAACCATGTGGAGATTCATATTGTAGGACCTCACATGGGTTATTTCTTAGTTGCTAAGATAATTCTTGTGGCAAGCTTTTGAGTTGACTGATTCGATTTCTTTAATTGACGTTTGG